CGGTGGAGCTCTCTATGGGGCCGCGAAGCGCTGTACTGGGTGGCGCGGACGCATGTGGTCACAGACATGGGAGCTTCAATGAAGCTCCCTACGCAGCGACGAAACGCTGTACTGGGTGGCGCAGGCGCATGCGGTCACAGCCACGGGAGCCTTCGGTGGAGCTGTATTCTCGTGCGCCGGCGCATGTGGTCACAGCCAGTGGGGCTTTCGGTGGAGCTCCCTATGGGCCCACGGAGCGCTGTATTCTCGTGCGCGGATGCATGTGGTCACAGCCAGTGGGGCCTTCGGTGGAGCTCTCGATGGAGCCACGAAACGCCGTCCTGGGTGCGGAGGGCAGAGGCAGGGACGGAAGGATGGGGAAGAAGGGCGAGGAAGAGAAGGAGGAGAAACGCCGGGCGCTTTCTCTTCAAAGCGAGGATCCAACACAACAGGATGGATGGGACAAATGGCTGAACACTGGACATCCAGAAATTAAGTCAAACTCAGTTGAAACAAACTTCAAACAAATATCAACGTTCAACGAATCAAACCAAGTGCCAACACAGCTCTCAAAGTTCAAATTATAACTGTAAGACAATGCAGAGAAAGTTAGGGTACACTTATCAGGGACACAAGTTCCCAAAGCAGTGCTTGCACAAAGAGCTCTTACTTCTGCTCTAGGGAACTGGGCCCGCCTGCCGCACTGGCGGCTGTTTGGCCGCCGTCGCCGCCGCGTCGCCGCCCGTCGTTTGGGGCTGCCTTCTGATCTAGCAGCGATGCTCCCGCCGTCGCCGCCACGTCGCCGCCCACAGAGACTGCACACCATACAGACTGCACAACCTATCTTGCGTACAACACAGAAGGCACCACATGTATATATATATGTATATGATGTGTATATGTATGTGTAATCTATAAATTTGTATATGTCTATGTATATATGTATATATGTATATATATATATATATATATTTATATCGTACACCTACATGTATAACCGCATGCCCCGGATAATAAAGCAAACCCACCCTTCTAACGATCCTCGTGATTGTCCCCGGCCAAAACAGCTTTGGTCAACGGTGGGGAGCGACGGGGCAGAGCTTCATTATCGCCAGGGGAAGCATGCATCGTATATTGCATATCGTTATCATGGTAACCATTATCATCATCGTCACCATCATCATGGTTATCATCATCATCATCGTCGTTCGCCGAGTTCGCGAGTTGAGGATGTCTCAAGCGAAACGCACACTTCTTATTTGCATGAGGATGTCTCAAGCGAAACGCTCAACTGTTCGAGCTTCCCATCCCCTTCTCCCGTCCCCGCAGCAAGTTTTCGAAGATTCGCTGAGTTCGCGACCAGCAGCTTTTCGAGTGTGTCCTAGGACCCCTAAGATATCTTAGGATTCCTACTCCTCCCACCCCTCCGAAGAGGCCCCGCGAAAGCGAACACGGCATCGTTATACTATGAAACACTCCGTGCACCCGCGCAATCCGAAAAAATCCGTTCGCTCCTCCTCCTCCTCCTGCTCCTCCTCTTTTACGTTGCGACCTGCCGGGGGAAATTCATTATATGATTATCGGGGGCACGGGGTCATGTGTGTATTGATATGCATATGTTGCACCACCTGGATTGACAACGTTGCATGCACCACACAGATTGCACAACCCAGATTGCACCACATACATTGCCTTCGTAGATGGCACAACGTAGATTCTCCTTCCCAACAAGAGAATAAGCTCTACCCCCCTCCCCAAGATTATCGACACCCCTTTCCGTATTGTTATTTGCATACGATTCTGCCCCATCGTCCATCCTAAATATGAATTACAACCATCCCGAGCAAGCCGGTATCGACCCCCTCCCCCGTCATCCTCCGCAACAAATATTACGCGCGCACTCGTTTTTGAAAAATCAGCAATTTACAAAAAATAAGCCTTTGCGCAACATGGAACGAAGAGCGCACGCGCGCGTCGTCGCGCGCGCATGCCGAAATCCTTCAAAAACCGTTGGTTCTGTAAAGATTTCGGAATCGAATGTCCACAAAACATATCAACACACACGGTCTCGCAGCACGGATTTTCAAAAACAAGCGTGCTCGCGCGCGTTCTTGCGAATTCTTAAGACGCCGCATGTGTTTCAACATATTCAGGACATGCTACCAAAGTGGCTTCGCGCGCGCATGTCGAAATCGCTCGAACGCCCTTGAGCGCGTGCCGTCGCGAGAATCTGTTCTGCAAAAAAACGGGACGAAATGCACGCGCGCGCGCGTCGTCGCGCGCGCATGCCGGAATCCGTCAAAAGCTGCGGCTTCGTAGCGACTTTCAAACCGAATGTCCGACAACATACAACAACACATGGTTTCGCAACCTAAATGTTCAAAAAGCGTGCGCTTCTTAAGAAAACCATCGGTTTTCCAACATGTTCATGGCATTCTGCCAAGCGGGCCTCTGGCGCCGCATGACGACATCATTCGCACGGCCTTGCACGCGTGTCACATTAAACCATGCGGGCCTCTCTCGCGCGTCGGCCGCGCGAGCATGTCGAACTCTTTCAAACATCTTCAGCACCGACGCGAGGACCCCGTCATTGTCGTCGGCGTGAGCAGCATCGACGCCCGCACTGGCCGCGCCTTCGTCGGTGTCAACATCGTCACCAGTAGCGCTATTATCATCATCGTGTCTACCGTTGTCGACGTTGCCATGTTACCGCGCCCGCGCAAATCGCCGACTCGCAGTCGAATGCCCGCTGGGCTGTGTCCAGCGGTCAGCGGTCAGCGCGGCCGCGTCGGTGGCGCCAAACTACGTGGCCGCTGCCCGCGCGTGCTAGGGTTTGCGCGGCCGCAGCGATGCACCAGCCAACGCCAAGCATGCAACGCACTCGCCACCACATGGGTTTTGCAAACCAAGTTGCGGGTGGGTTGGTGGGATGTTTGCAAGCGCATGGGATGTGTCAACTCGTTTGCTAAAATCAATTGCACCACATAGGCTGCACCACATTCGATTGCACAACATAGATTGCCTACCTATGCTGCACAACATAGACGGCACCTCATAGATTGCACCACAGGGATTGCACAACACATTCTGCACCACATAGATCGCTCTACATAGCTCGCACGGCGTAAACGGCAACCCATAGTGTACAACATACATTGCACGACAAATGCAGCACCGCATCGGTTGCTCTACATATATAGCTCCACATATATTGCAGAGCAGTATTGCACGACATAGGTTCCAAATCGTAGTTTGCACCACATAGATTGCACACCATGAATTGCGCCACATAGATTGCACCACACATTGCTCCACGTAGATTGCACCACACATATTGCTCCGCCGAGACAGCACAACATAGATTGCTCGAGACGCACTATTTGGGGTCCACACTGGCTGACATATTTTCCCACTGTAAATCATAGCATGTTGCGTTCACCGCTAAATGTATACTGTTCCGTGGTATTCCAAAAATCGTTACTGCCAACAACCTAAAACCAACAACACAGCCCCTGAACCATCCCGGAATGTAATGACAACCACAATCGGCTCAATATTTTACCTCAGGTCCACTTTACAACCTCAAATCATCATATCATGGGAAAACAAAGATCGGGTCAGACGAAAAGGGGGGAAAGGGTAGTAAAGGGGTTAGCAAATCAGCTAACGTAGCTGATTGTCCTGGCGTTTCCTGGCGCCAGAGACGCCACTGTGTCGAGGAAGGCGCCTGGCTGACCCTATCCGATGCAGCAGACTTTGTACCCCCCACCTTCCTTTATCCATTTCTTTCTGGCCCGAGAAGGTACTGGAGGGAGACAAAGTATATACCAGGTCGTCTGATCGGCCAAACTGCTCGGTGTATAGGACTCCCCAGCTTCTCAACTTGTGGGACGCTGGAGCATCTATACGCCAAATTTCTTTGCCGACGTCCTCTGCTCCTGGGCCTGGCAAGCGACGTGGTGTAAACATCGACCCTCTCGAGGGGGAGGAGAGGGAGGAGGAGGAGACGGAGGAGCAGAAAGAGAAGAACCAATGTAAACCCAAGACCAGTCAACGACAGTTCCCTCTTTCATAGAACCATACAAAGGTTCTCTTTCACTGAAGGAAGTGCTCCGTTGGAAGACAGCGCTGTGGAAATCCTGAACTGTGCCAGAACATCACTCCTGGGATTCCAACGCCGTGACTCACCGTTACTGTTGCGTTTTCGCGATCCTGAATCGTGCCAGAACGCCGCTCCTGGGACGTCAGCACCGTGAATGAACGTCAATGTTTCGCCCTGGCAATCCGACATCGTGCCAAAACGCAATTTCTGGGATGTTCGCCATGAGAACCCTTGAAACTGTTGTGAACTCTTGAAACGAAAGTGCGCGGCGCTGACGCGAGAACCACAATTTGAAAGCCCCGCCCTCCATCCGGGAAGCTCTTGCTAACTTTTGAAACGAATGTGCGCGGAGCTAAGCCGAGAACCGCAATTTGAAAAGGAACCCTCCATCCGTGAAGCTCACGCAACCTGTAAAAACGAATGTGAACGGCGCTCAAGCGAGAACAGCATTTCGAAAACCAGCCTCTCCATCCGTGAAAGCGCGCTCGGCGCTAGAACGAAACATTTTTTCAAAACGGTCCGCCCTCCATTCATGAAGCTCAGGCAAACGTTCAAAACGGGTGTGCGCGGCGCTGAAGCGAAAACCATCTTTTGAAAACCACACACCCTCCATCCGTGAAGCGCATGGGGACTTTCGCAATTCCACAACGAGTGTGCGAGGCGCTGACTCGAGAGACACATTTTGAACACGGCCCGCCCTCCTTCCATGGAGCTCTTGCAGTTTTTCAGCTCAAGTGTCATGAGTGGTGAGGAGTCTCAAGCGAAACGCTGGCCCGCCCTACCCACACGCCTCGGGGCGCGACAGGGAGGAATTACTTGTCAGGAAAAAGAATGGAGAAGGATGAGAAGGATGAAGAGAAGGAGGAGGAGGAGGAGGACGACGAGGAGGAGAAAGAGGGCCCCTCGGCCCGGCGGTCACCGCGTGCGAGTCGCACACGACGAGCGCCGCGGAGACGACCTCCCCGACCAGCGGCGGGGGGTTGAAGGCAGCGTCCAGGGGGGGGCCGCTCCTCCCCATTCTTTTCTTCGTGCTCGACGTCCCTCCTCTCCTCCTTTCATCCTTCGTCTTTCAAGTTGTTGGTTGCACTCAGGCAATATGCCGTCCTTTCTGCGTTTTTCTCGTTGGGCAGGTGGTGATGACGAAAATAACTGCCGCGTGTCCCGGCTTCCTTTCAAACACTCTGTTGCTTGTCTCCGAGAACAATGGCACATGCCCATTCCGACGTTCGACGACGACCTTTCTAGTCCTCGGCATCCCTCTTTTTCTCGTCCTCCATGCCCTCGTCCCCAGTGGATGGGGAACCCTCCTCCCCTGGCTGCTCCACCCCCTGTCGAGCGTAAGTCCACGGGGGGCAATCAATAAACATGGAGGCGCCGGGGGGTAAAGAAAATGACCCCGAAGGGCACCCGGAACTACCACCCTGGCCAAGAGAGGCGCTGAACAATTCCCCTTTTTCCACCCCGCGTTCTCTTCCCACACGGTGCCTTCCGGCCGATCAATTTCTTCAACGTCCCCGGTCTGATCTTCGACCCCACGCGCTTTCATCCTTCTCGTTATCCGCCACGTCCTCGTCCACGTCGCCCTCATCTTCGTCGGCGTTGTACTCTTCCTCCTTTTCCTCGTCGTCCTCCACTTCCGCCTGCTCTTCCTACTTCTTATGTTACTACCACCATAACTAACAACGCACTATTACTCCTATTACCAGTCCTACGACTGATGTTACTATTAATCCTCCATTGGCTACTACTACGACTATTGGCAACTACGACTACGACTACGCCTACGCCTACTACTACCACTACTACACCACTACTACTACTCCTACTCCTACTCCTACTCCTACAACAACAACAACTACTACTACTATTACTACTACCACTACTAATACTACTACTACTACTACTACGAGGGCTATCTGATTGCTACTGATACTACTACTACTACCACTACTACTACGACAACTAAAACTACTTGCTACCACCTCTATCTGCTACGGCTACTATCACTATTACTACGACTACAACAACAGCTACTACTACTACGACTACGTCTACTACTACTACTGCTACTACTCCTTATATTGATATTATTGCTACTCCAACTATTGTGACTACTAGTATTACTACCACGGCTACTACTACTACTACTACGACGACGACTACTGCTACTACTACTACTACTGCGGCTACCACCACTACTACTACTACTACTACTACTACTACTACTACAGCAACTACAACTACTGGTACTACTACTACTACTACTACTACTGCCACTAGTACTGCTGCTGCTACTACTCCTACTGCAACAACAAGTACTACTACTAGTACTACTACTACTACTACTACTACTACTACTACTACCACTACTACTACTACTACTACTACTACTACCACTACTATCAGTAATGATACTTCAACTACTACTACTCCTACTCCTCTACTAGTACTACTACTACGACTACAACAACAGCTACTACTACTACTACTACTACTACTACTACAGTAACTACTACTACTACAACAACTACTACTACTAATACTAATACTGCTACTAATACTACAACAGCAATTACTTACTACTATTACTACCACTACTACGACTACCTATCATAAGAATAAGACACTAACACATGATGGGAAAGGCAATGCTAGTGCTACTAGTCAAACTGTTCATATTACTTATAACGATACTGATCATGGCAATGCTACAGGTAATAGCATAGCGCATGCAAATACAATGATTCGTACTGATCATCATAACACTTGTATATATAAAGTAGTAACGATAATGTTAATAATGCTCGTGCTAATGTCGAAAATACGACTACTAGCGCTAATACTGAAACATATAACAATACTAACAACAATCATACTACTACTACAAATAATACTTACTATAAATTATCATTCTTATTACCACCAATACTACTACGACTACCACACCCATCACGCACTCCATGTTCCGTGAGCCCCGAGAGGTTCCCGCATATTCCTTCAAGACAGCTTCAGGCTGGCTCAACTTTGCACACCTCTCACGCACTTCGTGACACATGTACTTCTAGAAGCGCTCAGCTGGCCCCTCAAGACGGTTCAGGGGAGCCTCCTTTCTGCTCATCCCTCAAGCACTTCGCGGCTTCTGCAGCACCAGGGGTCATCAGCTGACCCCTGAATGCCCAAAAGCCTCCGAAGAAGGCCCCAAGACGGCCCATTGAGGCCCCCAAGACTACCTCTGGATACCTAGCGGCCCCCTGTAGGCCCCCAGAAGCCCCCAAGAGGCCTCAAGATAACCCCTCCCAAAGGGGCCCTCAGAGGCCCCAACAGCCCCCTGGAAGCTCTCAGAAGGCCGCAAGACGCCCTCAAGAGGCCTCCTCTTCATCCTTTCCTCCTCCTCGCCCTTCTCCTCTTCCTCTTCCTCCTCCTCTTCGTCGTCGTCCTCCTCCTCCTCCTCCTCACTCTTCCCCCCCAAAGAGTCAGTGCTCCCCACCAAAAGATTCCCCCAAGGGCTTCCACAACGGCTCAGCAAACACATAGGCGGTGGATCGTCGTGGGCGTCTTCGATCATAATAAACCAGAATCCTTACCTCCTGTACTCTATGTATTTGCGCGTGCGTGCACATATGTTCCTCCCCGCGGGTCTCCGAACCCGAACCCTTACCCTTTACCACTCGATGGTAAAGAGTTATAAAAACCGCGCGTGGCACCTACTACTTCCATCGTGCTAGTACTTCAATGGAAAAATAATCGGATCCCCAAAACATCCCAAGACAAGCCCCCAGACAACCCGTGCTGATGAATGACAACAACAAGGCCTACCCCGGACAACCCCTTTGACAACCCAGCGGGGATCCAGACAACCTCTCTGGACAACCCTCGGGGGTCTACTGGCCTGGGTCAGTCCAAACCCGTGTCAGTCGGGCTTTGCAAGATCCTGCAAGATCCTGAAGGATCCTGCAAGATCCTGCACGCAAGCCCGGGTCAATGAACCCCTGGCTATGCAGTATCCTGCAAGACCCGGCGCTCGGACTGACCCCCGTCTCTTGAGCCCTGAAACCCTTCTTGGACAGCCTCCCAACCATGAGACATAATTCGGGGGTTACTAAAAGGTGCCCCTGGCCCAAGGTGTCCCCAGCTTTGCGCTCCATCTTGGAGCACGTGGGGGCCTCTGGGCCTCGTGAGGGGTGCTCTGGAGGCCGTGGGGGCCTTCTGGGAAATCTTGGGGGCACCTTGGGCTGGGGGCACTTCTGGCAACACTCGAATGATACTGCCTCCGCTGCAGCCGTCGTGCTACCAAGGGGCCCCTCCTGGCCACGGCGAGCTTCGGCCACGCAGAGGCCCCCCCCGACCCAGGTCCAGGAACGGCCGAGGACCAGAGCCCCTCCTGAGCCCCAAGTGGTTCAGCGCCATGCCTGTGTTGCGCTTCCCCCTCCTCCTCCTCCTCCTCCTCCTCCTCCTCCCACTCCCCCTCCTCCTCCTCCTCCTCCTCCTTCTCCTCCTCCTCCTCCTCCTCCTCCTCCTCCTCCTCTGCAGCACTTCTTCTCCCCTCCCTCCGTTTGCAGTGAAACCGCACAATAAGGATGCGCGGTAAAGGCTGCAAGGGCCCTGGAGGGCCATGTTCACGCTTTTCGAACGAGGCTGGCCAAGCGACAGTCGCTAAGGATGGGCCGAAGGATGCAAGGATGCAAGGGCAGCCTTGGAACGTTGCTCATCCTTACTGTGCGGGTTGACTGTACCTAATCTCTTCAAATTTGGACCTCCTCGAGATGCCCGCCCGGCTGGTGTGACCAGAACGTCGCCATCTGCGCGGGCTGCCACGCGAATGGCCTCTGGTCGAGACCTGCGGAGCTCCCGCAGCGCCTGGCGGCGGGCGCCGAAGGGCGACGGTGCCTCCCCGCAACTCCTCACCACTGCCGCCCGCGTAGCGCCTGCCCTACCTCTGCAGAGCAGGAGTCCGCCAACTCGCCATCGCTCGGACGTCCATTCCCCATGCATTTTTCGATTTCGAGCGCTGATTTTTCGCAAGAGATGGCCGAAGATGCTCCTCGAGGGTCTTCGCCGAGAAATGCACACGTCCGAGCGATGCCAAGCCAAAAGAGGACTCCGAGGAACCACAACCGACGGGCAAGATCTGGGGTCTCTGGCTGGCGGCCCGAGTGCCCTCGGCTGCCAAGGCGGAGCCTGAACCGCCGGATCGAGGACCCAGGACCTGACTGGCATTGGGGAAGCCAAGAAATACCGATACTGCTACTCCTCGAACATCTCCCGGGGGCGATCTGACCAAAATTGCGAGGCGGATCCAACGGTGGCGACTGTGGGGCCCAAAAACATAGGAAAAACACCGGAAAAAAAACCTCGAGTTGGGTTTGTGTTTCGGTAGTTTGCGGGGGGGGTCTGAAATAATGTTGTTTGTAAGTGTGGGCCCCAGAACACCAGAAAACACATATACAAACCAGAGTTTTTTTTTCTTCTGTGGTTTTCTGGGTGGTTCTCAGAAACAAATGTGTTTTTCATTGTGGGTATCCAGAACCCCCGAACAGAAACTCGAGAACAACTTCCGAGTTGGGGTTTGTGTTCGGGGGTTTTCTGGGGGGGGGGGGCAGAAATAGCCTTGTTTTCAATTGTGGGATCCCAGAGCCCCCGGAAAACGCCCGAAGCACTTCCGAGTTTGGTTTTCAATGATTTCCCTCCCTGAAGAACTCCTGAATAACATAAGAAAAACACTCGAAACCCCAGCGAAGAACCTCCCTATCGGGGTTCTCGGGGGGGGGTCGACAAACTACCAGACCCAACTGGGGAACGTCACCCTTTCCATATCAAAACAATCGAAACCCAAGAAACCCATGGCACCCTGGAGGCAAGCAGGGTGTTTCTTGGCATGGGTCTCCACTGTAATTGGGGGGGAAGAAAGGTGAAGAAAGGTGGATTTTTCGGGCCCCAAGGCCCCCTTTGGGGTCCTTCCAGGGTCCCATGTGGGGCCCTGAAGGGACACTTTTTCTGCACCCCTCGCTTGCCTCCCATGTATCGCCCCCCATTACACGACGCACAACTGCTACTCCGTGGACCTCTGCCGGGGCGCGTTCTGACCAAGACTTCGAAGCGCATCCAGCCGTGGTGACGAGGGACGGCGGGCAGCGGCATCGGCATCTTTTATTCCACTGGCTCGGGGGTTGAGGCATTCTCCCCTGCGTTGGTTCCCTCTCCCATCGTTTTGCCCGCGATGGACTGGCACCGCCTGGAGCTCCTCCTCCTCCTCCTCCTCCTCTTCCTCTTCCTCCTCCTCCTCCTGACGCCTCTTCATCCTCCAGTCTGTGTTTCATTTGCCTTCTTTTTTGCCTTCCTCCTCCTCCTCCTCCTCCTCCACCTCCTCCTCCTCCTCCTCCTGTCGTTTTGCCTCTCATGGACTGGCGCCGCCTGGAGCTGGTCGGCAATCCTCACGCCGGCGGAGTCCAGGAGGCGGAGCACGCGAGGCACCTCCGCGGGCGCGGCGGCTCGCACGCGGGCGCCGCGCTCGGTGGCGGCGGGGGGCGGCCCGCTGCCGAACACAGCCATCGTGCTGCCACAAGGAGCGACAAGCGCGTTCCACTACTCGCAAAGTAGCCACTCGCAAATGGGCAAGATCCGCCGCGGGGGATTCACGCTCCATTGCATAGAGGAAGACATGTTTTTGTTTTTTTTTTCTCCCAGATGTTTGCGAGTAGGCACTTTGCGAGTGGTGCAACGAGCTCGGTGAGTAAAGGAGCGCAAGGGGCATTACTGGCCACGGCGAGCCTTGGCCACGAGAGCATTTTTTTACTCGCGGCGATACTCGGCGTGTTATGGGGAGGGAGGGAGGGGGGGGGGAGCGGGGAGGGGGCATAACGTAACGCCTCCGCCCCACCGTGACGGTCTGTGGTGCTGGACGCAGTGCCGCAGTGCTGGGGACGCAATGGGGTGGGTGGGGGGAGCCTTACGTCATGGTCGGGGGGAGGGGGGGGGGGCATATCGCGCGTTATGGCCCAGAGGGTAACCAAAACCCTCTCCACAAATCTGCTCCCGACCTGGATCTGAGGATCGGGGGGGACGAAAGGGTAGGATAGCACAGGGTAGGATAGAGAATCAGCTCACGCAGCTGGTTTTCCTGGCGCCTCCTGGCGCCGAGAGGCGACCATGCAGCAGATTTCGTCACCGCCCCTTTCACTATCTTACTCTTTCGTCCAGCCCAGAGGGTACAGTCGAGGTTGATTGGAGAGGACATGCGATGGAACACAAGACCTTTCCGAAGGCCACATCGCCATATTAATGCAGAAGGCAGGGGCCGCGAACGCACAGGGCACAAAGGTACCCTTCATTTGGCAGGGTCGACCTACTGAGCCACCTCGACTGTAAACATGACCCCCTCCACGAACCGGCCCCCCGACCTGGATCCGAGGAGCAGCCCGAACGCCGAAGCCCCTCCCGAGCCCGCACTGCACCCTGCTTCGGCGCCTTGGCCGTGCGGGGGCGTCCGGGCGAGCGAGGGCCCGAGCGCCATGCCCGAGCCGCGAGGCTCGGGCCTCTCGGGTGGGGCGGGGCGGGCCTTCTCTCCGCTGCAATCTTCGACCCGTGAGGAGTGGAGAATGGGGCAAGGGGCCCTTTCTTTTTGTGTGTTTGTTTCGCACGTGGGTTGGAATCAAGCGCGAACTTCCAGAAACATAGGACCGAACGAGGCCCCAGAAGAGACGAGCGACGAGCGAGGGCCAGAAGAAAGACACAACGGCGGAGGAACTGGGGCAGGGACTGAGAGAGGCGGGAGGGAAGAGGGCGTGGAGGAGGGTGAGTGAGTGAGAACAGTCGTGATGCGAGTCGAAACGACGCCAACGGACGCTGACGAGCTAGCTTTTCGGCCTTGCTTAGAGCCTTCGGCCAACGATCGGACTCGATCCGATTCAAATACATAATTGGATTCGTATTCGTACGCCGTAGAAAAGCCTGTCCTAAACGTCTGACGGCACTACTGTCGTAATACCCGCGCTGTGAGCAAAACCAGAGGCCCATGGGACGATGCAGACGCATCCGGTGATTATGTTGTACCCAGCCCCCCCCCCCTACATGTATTTTACCCCCCCCCCCCCCGGCGGCAACGCGGCAAAACGGCCATCAACAAAGGCAGGAATAAAACACGAGGTGGAAATCCATTCGGACTTGGTAGCTTAGGTAGCAGAACTACAGCACACCTTACAACGTCTGCCAGAGTCATCAAGCGAATGATTGGCTGCAAACTGGCGGCAGACTGACGGTGCAGGAGGTGGCGGCAACTCGCACGCCGCCTCTTTTCCTCGGCGGACCACCCTGACGAACCGACACACTCTCGGCGTCCAAAGAATCGATGGTGGCACGAATCATGTGCATCCTGATATGGCTAGCATCTTTTTCCAACGTGTGAACAGGTGCCCGCTCTCGCTCGGGCACTCTGAGACGCCTGGCAGCAGCGCCCACACCAAGGTCCACGGCCGCTTTGCCTAGGACTAACTGCGGCGCCTTGCCTGCCACCGCCTGGTGCGGTGACAGGTGTGAGTTAACGAGAAGAACTACAAACTCGGACTCGCGTCTGGCTGCAACTGCGACCCCGATCCTGTGCCACAGGTCGGCGCCCTCGCCGACAGGCGAAACAAATCTGCGAGCGCGCCATCCGTCGGCGACGCCACTACTGTGGGTGACAAGTACACATATCTACTAGAGAGCTGAATCGCGATCAGCAGCGCAAACAACTCTCCTCGAGGCACGCTCTGCCGCGCGCCTGGGAGGCCCCCAGGCGCCGCCCCCGCGATCGCGAACGGGTCGAAGGCGGCAACTGACGACCGCCAGGCCGATCCGCCTGAAGCGGGTGTCGGCTGAGTCGACGCCGCCGCTGGCGTCGGCGAAAAGCCGCGGCGGAACCTGCTCGGCGCCGACGCCGAACGCGATGCCCGCCAAACTGTTCGCCGCGACGCCCGGTACGTACCACTCCTCCTGCCCCGGCGGCGGGGCCACTGCGGCCCGCGGAGCTGGCAACAACCCCGCAGCCAGAAGCACTCCCCGCTCTCGTGCCTGCTGAACGCCTGGGACAGGAGGACCTGCGAGCGCTCGTAAGCATGTGATCCCGCGTTCTCGGGGCAGCTCCAGACCCAGTGGAACATGGCCTCGTCGTCCTGCTCGCCGCACCTCGGGCAGAGACGTGAGAGCCCAAGCGCCTTGGCCCCCGCAGCGTCGATGCGCCGAACCCTCGGCCAACTGCCCCCCGTGACCACCGTGCCGAGCACCTCCGCCACGCGGTTGCCTCCCGGCATGCTCTCGAGCTGCTGGTAAAGCCTGCGCAAAGACATCATCTCCACGCCGTGCTCCATCCCAGCGCCGCAGGAGCGCTCGCTAATCGTCTGCCACAGCCTGACCGAAATCGACGTCCTCAAATCACGTGCCAAACCTGTGGGCGCATCGACGTCGACAGAATCCCGCCAGGCCGTGTCGGGAAACTGCCACTCGATGATCTCACCAGTCTCAGTTGGCGGCATGGCCCAACATGCCGCCGACTGGGGATCCCATCCGTTGTCCAGCAGCAGCGTCGCTATCGCCGACAGCGGCCCCCGAATGTGACGTGAGCGATGGGTCGGCATCACCTCCTTAAGGTGGGCGACCACCGCTGGCCATGCAGCGTGCACGCCAGCTCGTAGCGACAGCTCCTGTTGCCATATGCGGAACCAGGTGCGTGCGCGCTCCTCAGGCATGCGCAGCGCAGGGTCCTCAAGTGCCTTCAACCCGATGAGCGTCGCGAGACATATTCCTCGAGCCGTCGACCCCGCTGCTGCCCCCAGCCTGCGCCGAAAGGTCGTGAGCTGCATGCCGAACGCGCAGTGGATCTGGTAGGCGCAGGACCCTGCAGCCTGAGCCCCAAGCCTCTCCATATTGGAAGTGACTCGGCTCCGTCATACCGCTGCCTTGTACTTCCTGACCTTACCGTGCGTCCTGCTGCACTTCTTAGACCCGGCGCGGCGGGTCGACCTCGCGAGCGCCCTGTCGTTGCCCAAGTCTGAGCCAAGGTAACCTGCCGCGCGCTGTGCTTTTATGACAAACCCTGCTCGTCGTAATGCACGTGAAAGTTTTACTGCATCTTTGAAAGCCGAGCATAACCACATTCTTCTGCACCGCACGCAAATGTCGCCGAGCCAAGCCGCAACGCGCATCGCGCGAACATTCGACTAAATCGGGCATCGCCGATGTTCGTGAAAGAACCACCCTCTGCGAAATACCCAGATCCTGTTGCCCGTCCTCGGATGGGCCGCACGCATCATCTTCTGAAGAACGAAGTATACAACTATGCGGGCAAAGCGGGTCCACGATCTCAACCTCTGCACACTAGATTGAATCGGGATCAGCGGCAACGTCCAAGCTCCTCTCTGCCCCAACGTGCGCGCCGACATGCATTGAAGCGTCTCCGAGCAAAGCGCCGCTGCTGGAAAGCCCAACTTGAGACCATGCTGCAACAGACCGGCCACCGAATGCAGTCGTAGAAGGACTCGATCTCCAACAAGCCGTGCCCCGATGGAACGCTCAGGACCTGCCCGATATCCTCCTGAAGCGCCCTGGCGAACGCCTCTCGCAACGCTGCGTCGCCCTGCGCCGCCGCGCTGTCGCCTCGCTCCAGTCGCCCGCCGCGGGCTCGCGGATGAGCGACCAAACTCTGGCGACCATCGCCGGCAAGCCCATGATGCGATAGCCCCCACTTCTTCGACAGCAAACTGCCGAGCACGACCGGCACCTGGTGGGGCCAGACGACCTGCTCCTCGCACGCCGCGTGCAGCTGCGCCAGCTCCTCGAGAGCTGCTGGCGGAAGCCTCTCAAAATCAATCGGCGGGCGACGTCTGATCAGCCCCCGTGCCTGCTCGAGGGCGCGCGCGGTGCGCTGCAGCGCGCGCCGTCTCTCCCGTGATATCTGGCAATGCGCCACTTGCTCGCCTAGTGGTCGATGATGTTTCTGGGGTGGATCAGGGGGGTGTCTTCCAACTCCACCTCCAGCGCCACCGGTGGATCCTCCTTGATACCCTTGTGGGGCCTCCCCAGGGCTGGGGCAGTCTCCACCCATTCGCCAAGCTCGCGGAGAGAGGATGCAATCGCTCGCTGTTGGCACCGACTGGCAACTCTCTCCGCGCTCCCAGCAAAACGGTCGACCTCGCTCTTGCCAGCGAGCTTGATCCGCTAGAAGAAAAGCTGCCAGCGCCTCCAATATGGGCCCCCACTTGCCTGCCCTCGCACTCGCAGCCCTGTTTGCGCCTGCCCCGGGCATTCCGATGTCACTTCGCCTATTGCTGTGAAGCGATGCTCTCGCAGCTTGTGCCCGTGCTGGCGCCTGGCGCGCCGTCCCAGAGTGAGAAGTAGCGCGCGCGCCCCGGTCCGCCATCTTGCCATCAGATCTCGCGACGCTGCTGCTCGATGCAGGAGGGGGGGGAAGAGGAGGGAGGAGGAGGGCGCGGGGGGGGGAG